ATGAAAAGCAGAAGAAAAAGAAAACAAAAACAACAGCAATGGAAGGAAAATGAGCGAGAGCGATAGGCAGAAAACCAAATTGCAATATCGCACTGAAGACTAAATAGCCCTGCACCAAGCAGAAAGCACAATGCACCGAGACACAAGCCAAATAAGAGCAGTACAATGAACTCAAATGTTAATGTTGACACTCTCTCGCCACACCAACATAGTATCCGATGTCGCTCTTCTTGACTGGCACTCAGCGCCCAGTCTATCCTACTCAGCACCTAAGCTAGCCTACAGCAATGACATGCAACAGGATCACTTCAAGCTGAAGACCAATGTCCGTGACGGTGTCGCTAATGCAGACTGCCAGCATACAGCTGGTGTCTCTTCTCCCCTCTGTCCTCATCCCCCTCCTCACCCGCAGTGTCCGCTCTCATCATCCGAAGACCACCATCGCCCACACCAGCATCTGCACAAGCAGGCCCGACTATGGCCGCTTGCGCCCACTGCCACCACAGTGCCCCTCTCACCTCGTGCGCCCCTGCTCGCTGGCCAGCGCAAGCAGGCCCGCTTGCCGGCCAGCGCCCAGCCAGCAAGCCAGTCCTCCAATGTGGCCGCTCTTGCATGCACTGCCAGAATGTCCTCTGGCTAGGCTCACACTTTCCTATATGGGAAGTGAGCCCAGCCTCTGGCTGGCCTAGGCCTGGTGGGCGTGTGCCCAATAGCTTCACGTTGGGTCAAAGTCTTGGCACCCAGGCCCATTCAGACAGTTGCCTGGGCCTGCAGCAGTTAAGCTGCCCAAGTATGTGATGTGGCTGTTGTCACTCGCTGCATTCTCATTGGCCTTAGGGCCTTCAGCCACATCGCTGCCTCGCTTCCCATTGGCCGAGAGCCTCTGGCCATGTCACGTGTGGAGTGAGCCCAGAGGCTCAGCATGTCAGCTCACACAGGCGTGGCCCTGTAACCAATTGGCGCGTGGAAACTGTCTGGCGCCCCCAAAATGCACAAATGACAAAAGTAAGGCCTCACGGCTTAAAGCAGGCCCACCTTCACTTAAGACGGGCACGAGGCTTGTCAGGGCCCTAGAGGGCAATCGGGTGCCAGGGCCAAGAAGGCCTTTGCGAGGGCTCTATCCTCGCACTCCCTCCTCCTTAGCTTCGAAAGTCCGCTGAGATGCTTCTACGCAGGTGCTTTTCCCTTCAACTTTTGTTCATACTCTTCAACGACCTAAGGTGCTGTCTTGATCAATTCCTCCCTGGTGAAGCAACGATCTTCCCTTGGATCCGTATGATGCTTGAATCTGACCCTGTACTCTCTTGTGGGGGGTCCGGCGGTCTTCCTCTGGCAACTGGCTTCGGAACAGGCAGATCTGCATGATCCAAAATGTCGTCGATGTCCACGCCGCCATCTATGGTTGGGTGGAGCATTGACCTCCTTGATGGGAATCTGACAGTCTCAGCAAAAGGTGCTGGAAGCTTGGAAGCGTGAAAAACAGGGTAAGTGTGCAGGTGACTAGAGATTCTAATCACATTGAAGGGACCATCCAGATCACTACCCACGATATCCAAGACTTCCCAAGGACAAAAATAATGAGGCATTAGCTTCCTAGAGATGTCAAACTTCTGTCCTAACGCACCAGCCTTAACCCAGACTCGTTCTCCTACCTGAAATGTGGACTGTCGTCTATGTCTGTTGTCAGAGGCAATCGTGGCCTTCTGTGCTTTCTTGATATGTTTGACAGCCTGCTGCAACAGCTTCTCATACTGGACACCAAATTCAATGGTTCCAGGTGTCACAGCGGGTTGGTTTTAGGAAGGCGAAAGTCTAGTGCTGATCTAGGCTTTCACCCCAAGTGTAGCTCATTCGGCGAGACTCCGGTGGTGCTGTGAACTGTGTTGTTGTACAGGCTGGTGATGAGAGGAAGTTTCTCCCCGCCCTCATAGCCCCAAAAACCTCAGTGAAGCTCACTGAAGATCCATGTAGGCCAATCCTCCGCCACAACAGCTACATTGTGTGTCCACTGCATGCACCTTACCAGCGATGATCTTCTTCCTGTATCCTCGCCCGCTCACATGCTTACCCAGGGCTTGCGCGACTCCTCTCTCTTCTCCTTAGCACAACCGAGGATCGTACTTGATATTACTCCCGTTGGAACGGGTTATGGAAATCCACCCTTCGCCAACCGAAACCTGCCTCGGTCACCTTCTACCCAGTGAAAGTCGTCACCCAGCCCACGCCCCTCTGTCCCCCTGAAATGCCTACGAGATGCTCGCATTCAACACGGTTGGGAGATGCAAACGGGAACAGATCTACCCACTTACTAAACCAAAGACCTGCCACGATGCCACCGTCCGAACCTGCCGATTGGCCACCGCTCATAGCCAGGCCGCATGTCTACACCATCCCACACCTTCAAACCTGCAGCCTAACAATGAAGTTATGCAAAAGGGGATCTTGTCTTGGCAGCATACCTTAGCTGGCCAGAACACCCAGTCCCGTTGTAGGAGAGGGGCGCGCACTCCGCTGGATGCAGTAACCTTGTCGTCCATACACTACTGAGATGAGTAACCAGCATAGCCAGCCCTCGATATCTCCTCCGCAAATACCATCCAAGCAGAGCCACACCACACTGGTCCCATCACCATCTACCTCAGTGCGAAGAAACGACTACTCCCCACTGTCCCTGCAACTCGTAATCTCCAATCAACCCAACACCTCCCGAACTCCTCTTCCTCAACGTGACACTGCCATCGTGCCCGTGCTCTGCGTCTCCCCGAACACCATACTGCACCTTCGTGCCTCCGCGCATTCGCGCCTGGCATTCCCAGCCAGCCCCAGTGCTGCGCAACATTTTGCGTTTGCACAGCTTGGGTGCAGCGCTCCAGGTAGCGCTGAACCCGGGTAGTACCTCTCTTTTTACCGGCTCTGAGACTGACGCAATTGAGATCCCATCATTTTGCATTCGAATGTGGACGGCAAGTAGGCTTTTCCTGTGGGAGCTGTGCTTTGCTTGTGTTGCCATTGTCATTTTTGTGATTTTGCTCGTTTTTATTATTATCAACATTCATTGTTGTAATGGCACAACCTTATGGTTGTTTGCTCCTGCAGTTGTTGGGCTTGCTATTCCTTATAGATTTGAGTCAGAGGTGGTCATGTGATGTCATGTTTTGTGGTTATATCTGGTGGTCCATGGTGGACGGAATCTGATCTGTGGTCTCTCTCTGGGGTCTGCTCCAACAGTCCTTTTGTATTCTATTGAGGGATAGGAATAAGCTTTTCCTGTGCTTTGGGAGATCTGTTAAAATTGGATAGATACATCCATTAAAATTGGAATGCTTTGAGTGAAGGTAGGGAGACTTTAGGCCCGTTCACCCAGCTCGAAGAGCCTGAGTCAATCTACAGGGACGATTACCATGGCCCGCAAGCAAGGATGGCACACATAAATAGAGAAATGTTCCAAAATTTTCAAAATGCGCACGGGGGAAAGAAGGCAGGAAAAAGGAGCAGGCCTTTCCTGTGGCGCTTCATTGCTGTTGTTGTTGTTGTTGTTGTTGTTGTTGTTGTTGTTGTTGTTGTTGTTGTTGTTGTTGTTTCTGTTGTTGTTGTTGTTGTGGTGGTGGTGGTGGTGGTTGTTGTTTGTGGTTGTGGTTGTTAATGTTGTTGTTAATGTTGTTGTTAATGTTGTTGTTGTTGTGGTGGTGGTGGTGGCGGTTGTTGTTGTTGTGGTGGTGGTGGTTGTTGTTGTTGTTGTTGATGTTGTTGTTGTTGTTGTTGGTGGTGGTGGTGGTGGTCGTGGTGGTTGGTGGTGTTTGTGGTTGTGGTGGTGGTTGTAGCTGTTGTGGTGGTGGTTGTGGTTGTTCTTGTGGTGGTTGTTGTTGTTGTTGTGGTTGTTGTGGTGGTGATTGTGGTGGTGGTTTTGGCTGTTGTGGTGGTGGTTGTGGTTATTGCGGTGGTGGTGGTTGTTGTTGTGGTTGTTGTGGTGGTGGGGTTGTGGTTGTGGTGGATGTGGTGATTGTTGTTGTTGTTGTTGTGGTTGTTGTTGTTGTGGTGGTGGTGGTGGTTGTGGTGGTGGTTGTGGTTGTTGTTGTGGTTGGGGTGGTTGTGGTTGGGGTGGTTGGGGATGGTTGCGGTTGCAGTGGATGTGGTTCTGGTGATTGGGGTGGTTGCAATTGTGGTGGTTGGGGTGTGGTGGTTGTGGTGTGGTGGTTGGGGTGGTTGTGGTTGTGGTGGTTGGGGTGGTTGAGGCTGTGGTGGTTGAGGTTGTGGTTGTGGTTGTTGTTGTTGGTTGTTTTTATCGGTTGTTGTTGTCGGTTGTTATTTGTTGTTGTTGTGTTGCTGTTGCTGTTGCTGTTGTTGTGGGTCATTGTTGTTTGTTGTTGTGGGTCATTGTGTTTGTTGTGTTTGTTGTGTTTGTTTGTTGTTGTTGTGGTTGTTTGGTGTGGTGATTGGGCGGTGGCTGTTGTTGTTGTGGTTGGGTGGTGGTTGTATGTTGTTGTGGTTGGGTGGTGGTTGTTTGTTGTTGTGGTTGGATGGTGTACACACGTGAATTGTTGAAACACAGACCGAGGTTTGAATCCAGTTGCAATCAGATGAACATAACAAAATCATTCTGAACCACCTGGACCCGTTTAGTACAATGATAACATCTCAAGGCCATTGCCGTTTTTTTTTTTCCCCTTTTCTGAAAAAGGTTGTGACTCCTTTAGTTGCCAGGAGTGCTGTGCCTTTTATTGTATTTACTACTTACTTAAATCATCATTTATTTAAACCACCACTACCTTTTACAGGCAAAATTGAAACCTCCTAAGAATGCGCTATATCCTATTCCGCATTCTTCAGAGGCTGGGCAGCACCAAACCAAAATGGCTGGTGGCGCCAATAGTCGTGCTGGTGCTTCGGCAAAGCTTGGTGCGCAGTTCTTTTCCGCCTCTTCAAAAGGAGTGTCAGAGGTAGTGTTGGTTTGCTTAACTCAATAGTTTTTACTATCATGTTTTTGGTTTATCTTTGTCCAGGAGACATGCAGACATGCAGAGTGGAATTTGTTTGTGTCACGGGCAGCAGCTTCCACAACAACTCCCAGCAGCAGGTCTGAAGTGCTCTGCTCTGTCTCCACAGGTCACAGGACCAGTTTGGCTTACCCTAGCTCTCATATTCAGTCTACATGTGCGTATCTCCTTTGTTTTCCCTTTCTTTGCCTTTCTTATCTCCTTTGGTTTTTCCCTTTCTTTGCCTTTCTTTTTCGTTTCTTTCACCCTTTTTTTTTTGTTTCTTCTCCCCCTCCCGCTCCCCAGTCTTTGGGCGTTGTATGGCTCAACTTGTTTTGACTGCATGGGTGCAATGAAGCCCCAAAGAGACGGCAAGGTAAATGAAATACATCCGCTGAGGGGTGAGGGACGCCTCAACCGACGATCTAAGGAGCAAGTGCTGCTGCTACCGTCCTCACCCGAATAGAACGCCCAGTCTTTAATAGCTGTATTTTTTAAGGCAACAGTCAGTCCAGATAAAGTGAAAATGACTGGGTGTTCTATTCGGGTGAAGACGGTCGCATTTCCATGCTCAATAAGCAAGAAGGTGGTCCAGGTTCATTGTGGACTCATTGAAATCATACGAACAGCGGGGTTGTCCCCACATACTAAAGGTGGCAACATCAAAACTCGGAACAATACAAAGTAAAAATGGCAAAGGAGAAAAGAAACATCTGGGCTGCGGGCATTCTGTGTGAATGCTTTTGCAAAAGGATTGCTCATTGCGAATCTGGCCCCTGTATGTGGACGGGAGGGAGTACCAGTGGTAAGGACTTGTGCTGATTGGCGAGAGCGAGGTGTGCGAGAAGTGCCGTGTCCGTGTGGTGTTGTGTGTCGTGTGTGTTGAGTTGGACACTACAGCCTTGCAGGGGTGGGGTGGATATCACGACCGGTATGGTTCCACTTCTGAACACCGTGTCCTGGCTGTAGTGGTTACGATACTTGGCTCTTCTTGAGGCCGAGGTCGCCGGTTCGAATCCGTGCTTGCACGGTGGAGGACGCCGGGCTCATGCTGGGATGGGTAGTGCCATCCTGTAACCTCAGCTGTTGGGGAGCTAGATGTGCAGATCCACTGAGCTGCTGATACTGGTGCATAAACACCTTTCTTTCAATACTTAGAGATAGGGAAATCATCTGGGTGAGGTTGATGGACTCTCAGGTATGATGTCTAGTGCTAAGAATGCTCCACGGTCCGCGAGCAGGGAGGAGCAGGGAGGAGGGGAAAGCTTAGGGAAGAGATCGTCGAAGCCTTAGGGAAGTGGAAATTGGGGCCATTCCCGTCTTTCCTCCAATAGAACGTACGGCAAGTGGTCACCAACCCACTTCTGTCTTCTGTCAACGGTGACAAACTCGGATGTAAAGGTTTCGCACAGGAGAAAGCACACAGACTGTCTGCAGCCGCAGATCTAAGATGTGGGAACACCTAAGGATCCCAAGTTACGGCTGTGGGCAGCTCTCAGTCTAATTGCAACGATAATGACTGTACAATGCGTACATTCTATTCGGGTGAAGACGGTCGTAAGCATGTCTCTTAAACCTGCTGAGGCTTCATACTGTTGGAATCGAGCTTCAAGGAAGCGCAACGAGGCGAGCATCAAGCAGGTTCAAGAAGTGTAAGGGAGGTCTCGTGGATTGCTTTCTACTCCAGTAGAGTGGAATCCTGGGCAGTCTGCGGGCCTCGCCGCACCACTCGCCAAATACCAACATTTTGAATGCATCCATACTACTTCCATGTTCAGATTCGCTCATAAGGTCGGCGTTCTGCGAGTGGTGCAGCGAGGCCCTGCGTTGATGTGCTCGAGATTGTATCATGAAGGTATGAAGCAGAAGTTGTTTGCCAGAAATTAGTGTTATGAGCTGCTTCTTTTTTTGGGGGGGGGGAACAAAGCTCCAATCTATTCATGGGGAGCAGCACATGCTGCGAACCGGGCCCAGCGTCCCTTTTGAAGGATTTTTTGAATACAGAGAAGAACCAGGGCCATTACCTGGTAATAGGAAAAAATGCAATCTATCAAACCACTTGCTGCCTGCCAGCATTGATTGCCCTGGAAGCCCAGGGGATTAACTGCACAGGAGTTTTAGGAGGGAAGGGAGCAGCATCTTCAAGGCGCCTGACAAACCTCTAACCAGCTAGCTCTCCCTTACGACAGTGAGCCTTTTACAGCCTTTTGCAGCAGAAAACGGATATATATAACCTACAAAAGTGTTACGGATTGGCGAGGAAAGGTTATGGGAAGTGGTCCGTGAAAAGTTTTTACACTGCACAGGAGTTTTAGGAGGGAAGGGAGCAGCATCTTCAAGGCGCCTGACAAACCTCTAACCAGCTAGCTCTCCCTTACGACAGTGAGCCTTCTACAGCCTTTTACAGCAGAAAACGTATATATATATATATATATATATATATATATATATCGTCACAAACAGAACTGCCCGGTAAACTGTAGGCAGAGAGAGAGAAGAAGACAACAAACGAGGGGCTGTGACAAACTTTTTCGTCGGAGTTTCATATATATATATATTTCTTTGTTTCGTGGATGTTTTGCTGGCTTGCGATGGGGTGTGAACCGACAGTCTGCAGAGTTTTCCATCTGGTGTGGGTGAGTGATAGTCTACTTTGATTTGGTTAAGGTAGATTATCATTTACAGTGTAATCAGTGAGGGGATTCTGCAGATTGTTAGGGTTCAGCCTCCTGATGAGTTGGTGAAACTCCGACGAAACAGTTTGTCACAGCCCCTCGTTTGTTGTCCTCTTCTCTCTCTCTGCCTATGGTTTACCGGGCAGTTCTGTTTGTGACGATATATACTAC